AAAACTGTTGGCCTGGAGAGCAACATACATAATAAAAATACAAAATACCAAAATTAAAATAATGCCACAAAGATCATGTTGCGAAGACGTAACATGAATAATTGAACATTGTTGAAGAATATTTCAATCTTTTTGTAGCTGGGAGAAAAACTATGTGTTTGAAGTCCGGCGCTTCTTATCAAACTGTTGACCTTGATGGCTTTTCGATAAGCAATCTTCTAGAGCACAAGCTAAAGGTGAAGAATGCAAGAAACCAAATGAGTTACGTCTGTTTATGTCAGTAATAAGCGAATCAGAATCAGAATCCCTACAACCACATGTTTTGGAGACAAAGAAGGTAAAGGTCTGCGCATATTTATTAAATTCATGACGATGTCTTTTGATATTCATTATTTTTCATATCTACAGCTTTTAACAAGTAAAAAAATACTAAGCATAACAATAAAATAGTAATTCTTCAAAGCTAGATTACAACATACCTGATCTCTTTAGATTACAAATCAATTGATGTGGCTGATTATCGCCCTGATAGTGGATGCAACTTCTAGTAAAATATATAAAATAAATAAGAAACAAGCAACAATGAAATCAAATCTAGAAATACTCATGATCAGGACTACTTTTGAACTTCAAGTTCAAGAAATGAGATGCTTACATAAGAATTCGATATAGTCATTTTGTACAGTATATAACCCAACAAACAGAGGAATAAATGAACCCCAAATGGTTGCTCTACCTAATGCCCAGAACTGGAATTAAAAAAAATTAATTAAAGTGTACACCTTTTCTGAGATGCCCAGAACAGAGGAATAATTATTTGGTGGAGAAGGTTCGCAAGCCAGTGCTTTCACGCTATATAGGAGTTCTAGAATGCACACCTTTTCTGAGATGCCCCCACTCTATAACATTTATTTGTAGGCTAATAAGAATGACAACGCTGCAAAAATGAAAGAGATGTTTCACGTCATTGACAGGAAAACAAAGAGTGGCATCTAATATAAAGTTTAAAAAAAAAAGATTAGCAACAAAATTGATAACTAAATCCTTAAGGATCAGGGTGGTACAACAAAATATTTCCACTCTCAAACAGACATGTCACACTTCAAAGCTTAAATAATCATAGTAAGCAAAAATAGACAGGGCCTACATAAGTTTTTGCAATTTCATATATCAATTACAAGGTCAGCATAATAACTTGAAATTTGATAACAATTCTCCAACTTAACAAGTTATTCCAACCAAAAAAGTTTCAGAAAGATCAAAATTTGAAGGACAAAGGCCTGAATCCTACTGTCAGTCAAACAATTATGCAGAAAGAATTAGGAGTTGATTAAAAGAAGTGTGATTTGACAAGATAATAAATGCATAATGTTTATGGTGAAAGAGGAAAACGTACATGTCTAGTCCATGGGAAGATACTGAAATACAACAAATAATAAATAAGTTCCTTTCCATGTCACTTCCGGAATGACAATCAAATGGGTCATTGTGAAACAGGATTTCTGAAGTAATGAGCAACATGATGTGAATGACTTGATAAAGTCATGCCATCCTTTCTTGCATTTTGAACAATGACTCACACCTATTCTAGCTGGGAAAAAAGAAAAATGGGATAATTTAACTGAATTCCATGCCATAAATTTCCTAAGTAAACTCAGAAAGAATAAATACTAAATGGGAAAGCATATATTGGCAAATAGCAGCAGCAGTAACTAAGATGCCAATGCCATTAGCATAAAAAAGAAGGACATAGAAACAGCTATAATAATGCTGTTTAAATTGTCTCCTAAGGATTATCTCCCACAGAAAATACAAAGCAAACATGTTGAGGAGGAAAGATCAACGATTAAATGATTGATTCCTCTCCTCCGCCCTTCTCTTTGCTGTGACAATTGCCTCCAGCCTTTTCTGAGATATGTCTTTCATTCAATTAGAATAAAGCTCCTTAGATCAAGGAAAAGGTCTGCACTTCTTTTGAAAGGCCAAAATCCCACAGATCAGTTAGGATTAGACTTCTGGGATTTTGAACATAGAATGTGTATTATTTGAGATGGTTAATTTCATAAACAACCCAACACTTTTTTGTGGGGGTTTTGTTTTGTTTTTTCTTTGTCTTTTTTTTGGGTGGGGGGTGGGTGGTGGGGGGGGGGTAGGGGGTGGGGTTGGTTCACATTACCCTAGAAATTTGTTTATTTCATATAGTCCTCAATCTCTAGAATGTCACACAAAACCTTTTTGAACTTTCAATTTTTCTTATCAGACGCCCTGTATGTAGTATAAAAATAAATAAGATTTTATGGAAAGGAAAAAAAATAAAAATTTAAGGGAGATGATATGTTGTCTATAGATGACAAGTGATAATTTTTGAGATTCTTTCTCTCATTGATATTTTAAATTTTTTTTTGTACATAACAAGTAGGAGGTCTTGTGAAGAAAAGTGAAAGTTTAGGGGTCTTGTGAGACAACCAAAAGTTTAGGGAGATTATATGAGATAAACAAAGTTCAAATGAGTTATGTGAAATAACTCCTAAACTTTAGGGTGTTATGTGAAATTAACCCTATTTAAAAATATGAAGTTTTCTTCTCACTTAAAAGACCAAAGATCTTTATGATCAAATATACTAATGGCAAATGCATAGAATTGTTCCTTCTAAAAGTTAGAAATGCCGAATATTTTTTACCAAAAATATTTTGCAACAAGTAAAGATTTTGGAAGACTTTATAGTAAACACTTTTGACATGTTTTTAGTTTGAGAGATTAATGTCAGAAAAATATTCATTTGAACACGCACGTTGTGAACGTTTAAATTTGCAAATGAAAAAAACTCATCTTTTCTTTTCGTTTCTCTCTCGAATGAATAGTTTGTTGTCATCTAGAGTGGTTTTAGTTGTGCCTCTCTAAGTATTAATCCTTTTAGGATATGTTATTTCTGAGTACGATTTTGTACAAAATATTTATTTATATTTGATCATGATTTGTCATGTTAAATTTAAGGGCTATTTCGACATTCTCCCTTGAAATTAGTCTCCCCCTTACAATATCCATCCAATATGCTGACCTATACATATAACAGAACCAAAATCAAGGTATTCATGAAAAACCACGCTTGGGTTGGGAGTTGTTATATGAACTCAATGTTATATCCTCTAATTATGTTTTCGATTGTAAACTTGTATTGAAATGTAATTCCATGCATGCATGAATTACAAATACGTACTTGTAAAATTTCTTAACTAATGAGAAGTTGTATATCCCCATTCTATTTCCTTTTAGCTTGTAAATGATAATTAGCAAAAGTGCACATATAGACAAAATTGTCGGCAATTTAGTGTGTTTGAAAGAGCTTTTACAAATGATGACAAGTTTAGTCGTTAAAGTGTAGTAATGACGGTTAAAATAGTGACATATAAAATACCAGCGAGGGCTATCATCTTGCTATTAATATATTGGGAAACTTGTGTCAAAGTCCCAAAAACAAAAACTTTATGTGTTGCAGTCCTTTTGACTTTTTTCTATGTTTTTTAGGCCTTAAATTGGATATATATGTTCTACAACCCTTCTTTAGCAATTGTTACCTGCCAACTAAGCATATATACAGAGAGAATAAAAAACCCTCAAAATTCCTTAATCTCCTTTATTTTTTCATGTTAAGTCTAAAAGCAAGTTGAATTAAACTTAACATGAAAGTCTAATTTCATGTTAAGTTCAATTTAATTTCTTTTTAAAGTCTAATTTAATTCCTTTTAAGTCTAATTTAAATCATGTTATGTCTAATTTAACTTGTTTCAAATCTAGGTAAACAAGTTTACTTATTAATATTCCTGAAACGATAATCAACTTGCAACCTTTTTTCTTAAAGGATCTGTAATAGTTTTAATTTCAATATCTTTTACTGTTACAGGCAATGTCAGCTTATATACTATTTCCTTCAGTTGATATACTTATACTTGAAAGTGTTTAGAAACATGTTTTACATATAAAATTCATCGGGTCTACTCAGGGTACAAACGGGTAGGGTCAAGTCAATTGTGAACCAACTTGTATAAGCTTGACTTGAACATGACTCATTTAATAAACATGTGAAAATAACAATTCATACCCGACCTGTACTTTAGGTGGTTTATCAGTATCTGACCCAAGTAACCCATTTAAACCCACTCCTAATGAACAACAGCAACACAAAAATCTTGAAGCATACTTCATTCATAGGTATGACATTTCGTCGAGCTATTATGTCAAAGAAATGCAACCAGAGATGAACAAGAAAGATACAACTATTAACTCATCAACATGGAAGCACAAGTACAAATGTTATACTAAATTCAACGAATTTCTAATAATGAAACAGGAAATAAGAAAGATACAACCAGAGATTGATGGAATTTCTATTATGTCTATGATTGTATTAATGTCCCGTGTCTGCGTAATATGATTAGATTATAGAAGTTCCAAGTCTAAAAGAGTGTACTGAGGCTCTTCCTCTGGAATAATAGTTTATTTCACAATTGGTAAAGGTGCTCAGAGTTGCATTTTCCTCCCTTTCAAAGTCTTAATTAAATAGTTTGCTTTGGTTATCTGATCTTTAGGTTCTGGTTCTCTCTTCTTTATTTCTGTTTATAGTTCATGCAAATAAGTATTTTGACTACTGTGCAAACTTAAATATCTTTGGTGACATTAATTGATAGCAAGTAAATTTAGCCATTAATTTGATAACTTTTTAATATTTGAATAGCTTTTTAACCATTAATTTGAATAGTTTTCCCCATCATTTCAAGTCGATGGAAATTCTCTCCTTGATCAAATTTTTTTCTCAGGCATAATTCAAATGCAATTTTATATATTTGGTTTTTTCCATAAAAATATAAAATGTTAATCAAATTAAAGTAAGCAGTACATAGTTTCAAGCTTCTATAATATGATAGGCTAGTTGCTAACTATTATCTTTCTGACAATTAGGATCTGCTCAACAAAATAATCAAAAGGCTCATACCAAGTTCAATGTAAAAGGGACTTCAAGGCTCAGAATCAAAAAGTTGAAGGGAAAAGGTAAGTGTACTTTGTGTTTGGATCGAAGAACATGTCATTGTAGCTTCTACTTAGTTTTTTTTATGTTGAAGTGTTTGGAGTCATTGTTCTTCACTCTCATATGTCATTGTAGCTTCTACTTAGTTTTTTTTATGTTGAAGTGTTTGGAGTCATTGTTCTTCACTCTCATACCTAACAGATACTTGAACATCTAACTTTGGCTGATATATTCTGCGTACTAAGGCTCTTCCTCTGGAAGAATAGTCTATTTCACAATTGGTAAAGGTGCTCAGAGTTGCATTTTCCTCCCTTTCCAAGTCTTAATTCAATAGGTTGTTTTGGTTATCTGATCTTGAGGTTGTGTTCATCTCTTCTTTATTTCTATTTATAGTTCATACAAATAAGTATTTTGACTACTGTGCAACCTTAAATATCTTTGATGACATTAACTAATAGCAAGTAAATTTAGCCATTAATTTGATAACTTTTTAATATTTGAATAGCTTTCTAACCATTAATTTGAATAGCTTTCCCCATCATTAATGTCTACAAATGTCTCCTTGATCAAAAATTTTCTCATGCATAATTCAAATGCAATTTTATATATTTGGTTTTTTCCATAAAAATATAAAATGTTAATCAAATTAAAAATTCAAATGCAATTTTATATATTTGGTTTTTTCCATAAAAATATAAAATGTTAATCAAATTAAAGTAAACAGTACATAGTTTCAAGCTTCTATAATATGATAGGCTAGTTGCTGACTGTTATCTTTCTGGAAATTAGGATCTGCTCAACACAATAATCAAAAGGCTCATATCAAGTTCAATGTAAAGGGGACTTCAAGGCTCAGAATCAAAAAGTTGAAGCCTAGTGGAAGATGGACATAAGCCATCGTTAGTAACATATACTACGCTATTAACTGACATCACCAATCAAAAGCAGTTCAATTCAATATCATCCCTCCTATCTCAAGTCGAAGAAAATGGGTTGAAGCCTGACTCAATCTTCTTCAATGCTCTAATAAATGCTTTTTATGAAGCTGGAAAGATCGATGAAGTCATGAAAATTTTCTGGAAAATGGCTGAAAGTGGATGTAAACCAACAACCAGTACTTTCAACACTCTCATTAAAGGATACGGTATCGCGGGTAAGCCTGAAGAATCACAGAAGCTCCTTGATATGATGTCTCGTGAAGCAAAGGCAAGGCCAAGTCAAAAAACATACAATATATCGATTAAAGCATGGTGCGATCAGAAAAACTTTAGTGAAGCTTGGAATGCAGTGTATAAGATGTGTGCTTCTGGCATGAGACCTGATGTTGTCACGTATAATACTATAGCAAGAGCTTATGCTGAAAATGGAGAAACAAAGAGAGCTGAGGATATGGTTCTTGAGATGGAGAATGAACTAAGGCCAAATGAACGCACTTTGGCTATTATAGTCAGAGGTTACTGCAAAGAAGGTAAAATAGAAAATGCATTGAGGTGTGTGAATCAGATGAAAGATATGGGCGTGCGACCAAATGTCATTGTCTTCAATACTTTGATCAAGGGATTTCTAGATGTTGAAGATATGGGAGGAGTTGATGAAGTAAGTCAAATATTTAATTTAATCCTTTGATAGTCTGATGCTGCTCTTTTCCCCCTTTTCACCATATAGTATTGTTTTGTTTGCAGAGGGAATGATAGGAAGAAAAGAATAAAATAAACAAAGGTAGGTGCAAATTTGTTTCTCTGTTATCGGTGACTTGGGGGAAAATTTTGGCTTATTTTCTCTCTTTTTTCCCCTCCTCTTGCACTTTCCTCTGGTAGCCAAACTCACAAAAGAAATCACTTGATTTTCATTCCTTTTCTTTTTTGAATCCCCATATTGTATTGTGCAACTTGCAGATAACACCCTCATATATACCTTCTATAGCACTTATCTCCTCTCAACTCATTTTTTAACACTTTATAACTTCTCAATTCACGAGAAAATGAAGGTATCTTCAATTTATCCTTCTCAAAATGTCAATCCAAAGATGATAAGTGCTAATAAAGTACTTGAGGGGTTGTAAGTGCGGCTTTAGTTATAGATGGAGGGTTTTCCACAATTTACCTTATGGTCTTTGGTTGTTCAAAAGTAATAGGAGAGAAGAAAACTTGGAAGAGAGGGAGAAATGGATCTTTATACTTAATTGGGATTCAACTAATCTGAAAGAAAGAGTACCTTGAAAATGTTTCATCAATTTCTTCTCTGATTCGAATTCTAACTACAATAAAGAAATAAGTTCATGCAAGGTTGTTTTTCTCAGCTGAGAGAAAAACTCAGCTTCAAATTGTACTTTTTGTGCATTATAGTTCATGTACAAAATACTCAATTTCCTTGAGAGTCTGCCGAGATGTCTCAAATGTACAGGTCGTTTAAAATCAATTGACTAGTGAATTGCTATCTTCATACTTTTATTTTTGAGATTTTTTAGATTGTTAAAAATACTGTTGTTTGATAATTTGAAATGAAGGTTATGCATGATTTTTGCATATATTCCCAGTAGAAATTTCTACAACAGCTATTGATTCTTCACAATGCAAACAATGTTGATAGGCTTTGAGATATATCCTCAGGCAACAAATGCACCTTTTAGGTTCATTTTTTATGCTGGACATGAACCCAAGAGTGGTCAATTTCCACTTCTCTCTTGATAAGTTATCTTCCCAACCATCAAAACCAACCACTCACATTTCTGAAAGAACATTCTTAACAGGCAACTGGAATAAAAGAAAAAGATGACAACTACTTTCTGCCTTACTGTCAGAAGAAAATACACAATAATTGCTTTTCTCTATTCACAGTGCAATAATTTCTTTTCTTGTATACAACATTCTGAACCAGATCAGAATCATAAGAAAAAATTAAACAAAAGAAATCACAGGCGAAATCAAAAACTGAAAAATAAAAAAACTCAACTAAACTAAACGAAATCAAAAACTGAAAAATAAAAGAACTCAACTAAATTAAACTTACTTTATAGTCGCGATACAGCTGCTGTTTGAATATATAAACGTTTGTCGCTTGAATCTGTAGAAAATTGAGAATTAGGGAAAAATTATTAGAACAAAATGAGAGGACTGAAGAACTAAAAGGGGATAGGTTGAATTGAGCATAACTAAAGCTTAGATCTAGGGTTTAGTATAGAGGAGTGAAGACGAAGAAGAAATACCTTTCTGAATGCCCAAATTCTGAAAACTGTGGAGAGGAATGCGGAGGCGTCGCGTTGATGATTAGGGCATTAATAGTCATCTTTGCAAATTAATGACTGGAAGTTCGTGGGACGGCGATAAGAGTAAGCGATTAACTCTTCGTCTTCAGCGGAGGGAAAGGCGCTTAGGTAACCGATGAACTATTCTGCTTCGGCGGAGATCTTCGTCTTCAGCGGAGGGAAAGGCGCTTAGGTAACCGATGAACTATTCTGCTTCGGCGGAGACGAATGTGTTGCCGACATGGAGATGAAGGCTAATGACGCTTACACAGGATAAATTGGGTATATTTAAAATAGTTTAAGGTTAATTTGGGAAGGGAAAGTTTTTCAGGAACTTGCTCTTTTAAAGGGTATATATATATATATATATATATATATATATATATATGTATACATAT